AACTGCAATCACTGCTGTCGAAGAATCCGGGCATTCAGGGGTAAACGGTTTAATTTGACAAAGAAGTTTCAGTGAAAGTGGCAGCAAAACTACCATGTAGAAGCCCCAATGTAAATAACTAGGTCATTTTCGTAACCATAACAATGCTGCACTTCTCCTTCAGTCAAACAAACGCAATCCAGCGCTGCCAAACACTACCAATCAGCGTAGAAGCGGAGATGCGTGGGGATCCAATCATTTGCTCCGTTTTTTGGAGGCAATGTAGCCGCTCGCTCCGTCATGTAAATCTGATCCGTTCCTGTGACTGCATAAACCCATCACATCCTTCCGTTTTTCGGGATCAGCCACATCGGTGTCTCTGAAAACTCCGAACGCTCTTCTGCTCCAGGTGGTCTTAAACGCTCCTTTCTTTGTGACCCTTCCGTGAGCTGTCATGTGCTTTGTTCCAGGTTCACCTCCTCGTTCCCGGTGGCTCCGCAGCTGCACTCGGTTCCCTCGAATCATCTTCCCACCAATATTGACTTAAGAAGATCTTTCCCCGAGCTTTGCAGTCACTATACCTTCCATCAGTCGATAACACTCAGTATTGGTTGAATCCATGTTTGACTACAGCAATGAAAACTGGTAGCTCAGGTTGTTCAGATGGCTGTTGAACTGTGCGCTGAGCTTGGCAATTTCGTTGCAAACGTTTCGTCACCGATCGAGGTGACATCATCAGTGCACTGATGATGTGGGTGGAGGTGGGATCAAAACGCGATTTCCTTTGAACAGTGAATCGTAATACATCGTGAGTTCACTCAGAATGCTGAAGAACGGCGATAATTCATTTGGGAGTTTTTCCTTTGCACCTAGCCATCCTCACAAAACCACGTCTTACAACGCGCCTGCCTCCGTATGGTGCCTTCTTTCTTTCAGGCGATCTGTCATTACTGCCAGACGTAGTACCAGTTACTTCTTCGATATTTTCCTGTCGGTGTTCGACTATCGGAAGGTGAGCTCTCGACAGAGCGTCCGCGATGAACATCTGCATTCCAGGGGTGTATATATGTCGTATTTTTGGAGCCGGATAAGCATACATTGAAGACGTCGAGGCAAACTGGGTAACAGTTGACTGGTTAATGATACGAGCGGTTTATGGTCAGCATACGCAGTAGTCTTCCTCTCAAAGGTGTAGTCTTTGAATCGCTCCATCACGTAGACAACAGCAAGTATCTCCTTTTGGATCTGTGCGTAACGATGTTCCGGAACTATAAGCGTGCGACTGTGTAAATCCAAGAGTTTACCATCCTGCAGGGGAACAGCGCCTATTCCACTCTGGCTGCCTTTACATAGCAGAGCCGATCGTAGTAGCCGGATATCGGTGCACAGTGTGATAGTTGTAAAAGCGGCCATCTGCTCTTTTCTCCAACTCCAATTTACACCTTAGTGAGCCGGTCTCCGGACCAGCGTTACGATTTCAGCAAGTTTTGGCAAGAACGGGCTCAAACAATTCACCATGCCATTGAAACGACTAACATCCTCAGGTTGTGTCATCACTTGCATTGCCATGGTTTTTGTGGGATCGATCTTGATTCCATCGAATGTCAGAACGCGCCCATGAAAAATCGCTTCCGATTTTTGGAGCTCAACTTTCGCGCATTTGGGCTTTATGTTCCTTGGTACGAAACGCTGCACAAAGTGGTGCATATCGGCGTCATGATTTTTGGGTTGAGCCATAAATCACACATCGTCTAAATCGTCAACAAATTGCAATAACCGTTTTTGAAAAATTTCACTGGAAACCTTCGAACCAAACGGTAAATATAAATATCGAAAACGCTCAAAGGGTGTGGAGAATGTCGTTAGAAAACTGGAAAAATTTCCAGGAATCCGGGGGCTATAAACAACGGCTAAATTATAAACGATACCGGAATGGAGCAATCAAATGGCAAAAAGGAGCTAAGAATCGTTATGAGCTCAGAGTAGCTCAAACTGCAAAAAAATCCGAAGTTGTATTATAGTTATGTACAGTTAAAAGCTTCTTTGAGGGCGGGGATGTTAACCTGATTAAGTAGGACGTCAGTGAGGTTATGGAAGATGAAGCCAAGGCGAGGTGTTATTGTGTGTCGTTCAGCCCTTGCACCGTGGGGACAGTGGTTGTGCGATCCCCTCGCAGTCACACAGCCCATGTGACATTGAAATGCAAGACGTTGAAAGAAATGCATCAGAGGTCCCTCAGGTGCTGGCTGACTTAAACCCCTATAAATCGGCAGGCCCTGACAATGTTCAACCAGCGATTGTTAAACCGCTAGTTGATATGCTACAGTATCCTGTCTTGGACCTGTTCAACTGTTCTCTTTTTGAAGATAGTGTTAGATCACTTTTTTCGCTATTGCGAATTAACCATCCACAAAGTTCTCCGCAAAAATTCTAGCCCAGCCGAAGAAAAATCAAAATTTCAACAGTCTTGACCACGGAAAACGTGTTAACAAATCGCTCTGCCAACGTAGCCAAATAATGCCGCCGAAAACACTGCCCTCTCAACTCTGAGGCAAAAGCCCCATTAGCTGGGTGTTTGAAAACGCATTCGTCCGCTCGATCGATTGCCTGATCGACCGCACGGGGTTGGCAATTCCCTTCAGCCCAGCTTTCAATCACCATTATATACTTTCCCTTTTTCTTTTATGTTTTTATCTGATTCCCGGATACCTTCCCTCCTGAAGCTGCTGCCGTTGTGTATGATGCTAGCCTGGGATTAACCTGAAGCCTTCTGGAAGGGGTTCTTCGCCTACCGGTGCATCGCCTTGGCTGTAGTGTTCTGGATTCAAATTCCGTGCTCTGCGGTCTGGTAGAAAGGCTATCACATGACTGGAAAGAGGCGACTGTTGTAGCAAGTCATTAGGAGATTCCAAGTCTGCACCACTCAACTACAGGCCAGTCAGTCTGACAAGTATTCTGCTTGAGCCAATGAAAGCAGCGGAAGGTGGTCAAGAAGTATACATGGAGGACACGAACCAGCCAAAGCCAGCGGCTCGAATTTGACAGACACTCTGGTGAGATACCGTTGGGTTTCTTGTTAAACACTAAGTAGCAAACCTAAGCATTGCACATCCAGTTTTTCCACCACAAGTGGGTAGCAATTCGTAGACAAAGGCGATCAAGTTTATCAGCACAAGCTTACTCATCCAAACGGTGCACAGAAGGTGGAACCATCAAGGCTTTATTTCAAATCCTTTGAACAACATTTGAATTACAAACCCGTAGAAACCATCTTAATGACGCTTTGATACAATACTAATTGGCTTACTATTGGTGTGGAGCAACTTCCTGATACTTTAATACTATGTTTAGACTCCATAATAGGGGAAAAGTTCAAAAGCAATCTTCGACTTGGAGAGAAGGACGCTGACACTAAACAGATGCGCCATGGGTTGAATGGGTGATGGGAAAACATTTAGTACTGATCGAACAGATGTAGGGTAGTCAGTGAATGTGAGACTATGGTGTGAATGGAATGGCTTCTACTCAAAGAAATGACAAAGTAATAAGTGGACAAGTTTTAACGCAAACCAAAGAGGGTTAATACTTAACATACATGGTACCTCGGGAGGACTACTTAGCAGAGTGGCATACATGTGAACGTTTACAGACATGCAAGCACCAGGTTAAGGGTTCAGGCTAGAGCGCCGAACGATGCTTTGCGTAGCGTGGACTGCAGTAGTTGTATCATAATTTCTGCATGCAAGCAACTAGTAGCCAGATGCATGACAACGACAATTGCGTGAGCTGTTGTCTCGAGATTCGCAAGCACAGCATGTATCGACCTCAAGGGCGTCCGGTATGCTGTATGTACAGGTTCTAAGAATACCACTGTTAGGGGACCTATTATGAAGCCAGTCAAATGAATTAAGCAGCATGGCTTAATATGAAACTTTGACATCAAGAAACAACTGGGCCAGTGGCGATATGAACGGAGGTGCCAAAATCCTAAACAAATGGGTACGTTGGAGTTAAAGCTGGGGGCTACTAAGGAGTCAGTGTGGGGATCAGGATGAGAGCAAGAGGAAAGGGCAAAAAGTTGATGGGTGATAGTAGTTGTACTTGGACACTTATCTACTTTCGACAAAGCAATAAAGTTTAGGCTCCCTGAGGGCTGATGCGGAATGCGGCTGAAATTTGTGTTTGTCACCGCACATGTGGACTGTGCTACTGCAGGAGTGCCCAAATCTAGACGGGAAAACAATCCGTTCGCAACCAAAGGCTAGGGTTAAAAAGACTGAAAAGATTATTGAAACAGTGTTTCACAAGATGAGCTTCTCACATGTTGCCTCAGTTAAAGCCCAAACATGAGTAACATAGGGCTGAGATTGCCTGACCTCTAGTCATTGATCTAGCTGGACTATGCAGTTTGCAATACACATAATGGAGTCGAGAGATAGCTTAGATTAAAACCCATTCAAGTTACGACAGTTCACATGAAATGTACACGTTAGCAGGTACGGTTGAATAAACAGGCAGTAGGTTCGAGGTTGCGCGGAAGAAAGCTACTCTAGCATATTCAGCGCTGAAAGATATCAGAAGGACAGGGGACAACAATAAACAGTGAATAGTGTTGGTTTGGGTTGTTTTCCTAAAAGAGACTGCACACAAATGACTAAGAAATTTTACATAGTGACAGCCGGGATTGCGATGTTCCAGTGCTAGGAACTTTGATTCCAACAGATCGTGCTCTAGAACAAGGAAAATTTTCTTTTCCTGCTCAACTTAAAGCGTTGAGTTTCTCTCAGTTATTTTGCCGTAGCTGATTTATAAAATCAGCGCAGGATTTATCGTCATGAATGAACGAAATTAGGAAGCCGTGTGAATTGGACGCTAGTGTTCCAATGAAAGATGAACGTAAGCTATCGATGGACAAGGGAACTTGTTGGGGTTGAGAGCACAAAAGATGCAAGTTAGGTGAGCATTAAGTAGGAAGTCACAGTGAGCGACAAGAAGAAATTTCATGGAAAAAGAATACCCACTTGGTAAACTGCTCTGGCGAGACCAACACGTTGCCTCTGACCACCAGATAAGATAACTCCACGCTCTCCGACTCCAGACAAGTCACCCGCGGGTAGGTATTGTATGTCATGAAGCAGCGCGCATGCAGAGAGAACGGTACGATACCATGCCCGCCTCTCGCTCGCTGACAGGATGGTCGTTCGCGGCAAAATGGTGTCCTCGTCAAAAGAATCGCCAAAGCAGATATTTTCTTGCAATGACTGACTTTGCAACCAAGTTGTTTGTGATACGTACGCAACGGAACCCTGAAGTTGGAGTGATAAGCAATATCGTTGGGAAAGGGTGAACAACAGATGCAGGGGAACAGAAATGAAGCACTCAATAATGCGTAGCGTTATTTAAAAACAATGGGCGTGCGAAAGCGCAATGACTGCAAATCGTCCGATAGCGCACTCGTGAGAAACTGGATCGATTATCTCACAATGAGAGAATGAATGTGGTTGCACTGACTGGGTTCATGTGGAATACGATGAAGCGCCACTAAATGCAACCGAGATACGAATAGATTTAGCTGGAACCAACCAGTGTGACCGCGTTGCAAATGAAAAGCATGTGTCCGCATTATTTTGTCCGTTCATATCACCGTGTAAGTTGTTTAAGTCAAGAAAATAAATAAATGGTAAATTATCGACAGCGCGAGGCACGCCTAGCGCGAAAGAACGGCATTTGTATAAAAATGTTACAAGGTAACCAGTTGCAAATTGGATTAATATGCATATATGCATATGTAGGTATGCGTGTACGTGATCATGTTGAATGAAGTAGTTGATGTAATGCTGCATGTGTGTTTGTGTTTGCTGGGGTCGCTGTTGCAAGAAGGGATCATAGGAAACCTTCGAAGTGGATGAGTGAGGTCCGGGGAGAGGGTAGGATCATCTTGATGGGCAAGAGACGGTGACTTTATTTAGTGGCAAGTCACATCCGCCACGTCGCGATGTTGTTAAACGGACATTTGTGGCTTCTCATAGGAAGAGCAGTTGCCAGGCGGAAACCCACCACGTTCTGAAACACTGCCGCCGAACCATACGCCGGAACGAGATTGACCCGAAGCATCCAGCCGGCACCACGAGGTTGTTCAGCGAGCTTTACGATTAAAGTATCCGGAGTGGTGCCCAATGTAGACACATGATGTGTCAACCCAATTCATTAACATGGTTAAAGCAAACAAGCTACCGACATTTGAAAAGTAGTTGTGAAATATTGCGTATGTAGTTACCTTCGAAATGACGTAGAATCGAAGTACACAGGAAGAGAAAAACAGCCAACTGTAACCGAGAGCATATACGAATGAATGAAAGATTGATCAGGGACTTAGTTTGAAGTGCTACGAAGCTGCTTCATATAAATAGGTACAATGGACGGAGGGGATGCGCGCGCAACTAGAAGAGACGCAACAAGGCCAGTAAAGAGCCTACGAGCAACCAACTGTATCGACATTATGTGAAGACACCAGTAATGACGTAGTGAAGCCGATTTTCAAGTGGGTAGCTCACTCTATATGCTTCATACGTCTAGTAGTGAAATACTGGAACGGTTTGTCTGAGAAAATGGTCGGTGTCAAAATTCAAGAAATTCCTGGACGTGACGTGATTCCGAGCACGTGCCCGAAGTATCTACGCCGGAGCAACACAGACTTATGTCTATCAGCTCTCTATGTCGAGTAGTGGTAGTAACAGAACGCGAAGCTATATGAACAGCAAGCCCCCATAGACAGTAAAATCGCCCCAACTGCTGGAGTAAGTGTCAATGTTTATGGAAACTGTTCGGTTAGCAGTGGTAATCTCTGCAGAATCACTTCATGTGTGGCGTTTGATTTCATTTAGACAATCCGATACTTTAAGGTGTTGCATAAGATTAATTGTTTTTCCTCTCCTCTGGAGGATATACGGCTACCGAGCTGTTCACAAGTCGAGCGCGATGAAGTCATGTGCGCGCGGTATGCGCACAAAACGCAAGGCATAGTTATGGTATTGCACAGGAATACACTGAAGACATTGAAGTACGCTACGGTTCACTGGTTATGGACACAATCTGGTACACAAAGCAGTCTTTCTTCCGATGTATGACCAGTAAAACGCCCAAATATGCAAACTATCACGATTATCTTGCGTACAGACTGCGTATAACCTTGCAATGCCACGGTGAGTTCGCGACTGAAGATATCTAAAGGTTTCTCATCTGGTATGAGAACAGTGTTTATTCCTCTCCAGCTACTGTCGCACACAATCGGCCGGAAGGATTACGTGCTTGCCTTGTAGTCAGAAGATTACCGATTCGAATCCGCGAAGGTGTGAGAGACTTCGCTGTAGGCTCAAGCGAACCCAAGCAGAAAGTAAGATACTGAGTTTCCATGCCCGTTTGTTGCGAACAAAACAATATTTGTTACGCTCAAGCAAGTAGGTGGTTGGATTTCCAGTTTAATACATGATGGTATTCTCTAATACAATATCACACAACTGGGCGCGGTAAAGCCAGTAAAAAGCGCCAAATGGATTCGGTATGTAGCGGTTGTCCGATTCCATTGACATCGACGCTGTTCCGTTGTAAAAGTCCCAATTGTGATTTACCTAAACGTAAAAACGGAGAAATCTCCAGTAGCGTGGCCAAAGGCAGACCAAGCAGTGGTGCAGCAAAGACGGGCCACAATACCTAGTTCATCAGATGATGGATTCTGTTAGAATCATAGACGATTGGCTGCCTGATCCGGAACCATTTACTCCTGATTGCATACGCAATTCACACGTGATATGCTGAATCCCAAGCAGACAAGTACCCTAAACAGGTGACAATGATGTCGGTATAAATTCCGCGCGATGTATTTTATGGTCCCAGAGAAAGTAGATAAAGTCAACCGTGGACGCGTAATAATAGGGGAGTACACTAGAAGCTGACAGCAACGTAAAACGCTGATGAGGGTGAGGAAGAAAAATGCGGAAGTACTTAATCCAGTTTCACTAACTACAGCAGAGTAAGCCAACCTATTGACGCGGAAAAAAACGTTTCTTTGACGAGTCTCAGAGAACACTCAAAACAGCTTGAACCAAAGAAATGAATATATTAGGATGTTGGCATGTCCGACATCACCTAGTCTGATGATCGCGTAGAAACAAGAGATCCGTCAAACTGTTTAGGGGGAAACCACACTTACTCCAGATACAAGCCTCAATTGTGGTGGCAACAAACAAAGGAAAACCGAAGAAATGGAATTCGTTAACATCGGCGAGAAATTACCTGCATGGCCGTTAGGGTTGAAAAAGAATTCAGAAGGCGCTGTGTTCTACACCGATGTGACATCAATCTCGATAGCAAAGGAATTTAGGAAAAGTCAAGAAAAGTAGCTGTGGTAAACGTACGCTAACGCACACTGATCCACGTCGTCGAACCAAATCGCCAAGACACGCAGATAGCAAGGAGGATTTGCCAGACCCAACAGCTCCAAGCACGATAACTAGCCACCCACGTCGTATGGTAAGATTAACACTGGAAAAAGAACAGGCGACAAATGATGCCTTGAGTAGACGGAAGGCGAATACAGTAGTGACAAGCATGAAGATCAGACTTCCGCATAAGCAGTGGGTTGGCCAGAGATGCGCAACAATGGAACACATATTGGAGTGAAGATTATGGAATGTTTGAGAGACTGGGGGAGTGGTGAAATTCAGTAATGAACTAGCTAGGATTGATTAAATAGCACACTGATGGCAAAAGATGAAATCAAAGGGTGATGAGTTGAAGAGCTCCTTTAAGAAAACGTCTTAGACTCACAAACAAATTAGCAAATATGTAACCAAGAAGATAGCTGCACACTGTATCATGACAAGTAAAAAGGGGATTTTATTTAATAAAAACAATGTTGGTACGAGAGAGAAAAGAGCGAAACGAGTAGTAGTCGACGATTGCGGGGACATTCGGGGTACCCCTAACACAATAAAATCGAGCGCCTAGCCGCATTGGTATACATCGACTTGGCTCTCGGGGGTACAGGTCGAAGAATGTGAAAGGAGGAGAGCGACAGGCAGAGCCACCAAAAGTGGAAAAGACGACAGGGTTTGCAGCAGCAAGCGTCAAAGTATAGTAACGCGGCTGAAGTCGTACATGCTCTGCTGATGAAACATAGGTCTCCCTTCTGTAAAACAACAAAAGCACTAGATCAACCAATCGAACTGATGCTTCGCTGCCGTACAATCACAGTTACATACGGACGGAAGAATAGTAAGGGAGAAGGGGGATCTATCGTAAAACCTTAGTGCCTAAGCAAACATTCAGGCTCAAAACCCCTACACCAAACCCACACAAACAGCTGGATATTGCGCAAAGCCGGCATTGGTGAGGCGGCTCCATTGAGGTTCTCACTTCCCCGTCTCATAATCAACCATTATACCACAGGTGACGCTAGACACAATGTACAGGCAGACAAACTAGTAGACGATAGCATACGAGTCACTGATGAGGGCGAAAAGCCATGTCCTGCAACTTCTCGAGCCAAACCCAAGGCGGGTCACGCGGATTCCATCCTAGAAGGCGAAACTGACCAAGGGTACCCAGTATTCATTTCACGATGCAAAGTCAACTTTATCCACCACGGGCTCAGCGCCTTCACATCCGGCTAAGAAAACAAAACACACCGCGGTAAACGTCGATCGGACATACCTAACATGCGACTAATTCAACGCAAATTATTCAGGGTTATCAGTCCTTCTAAGAAACTAACCTGATAATCACTGCCTAGTATTCGCTTACGCACATCATCGCTGGTAGTCTACGAAACCAATAACGCTCCACAGAGGGCAATGAGGGACGACCCTACTGTGGCGATCTCAGACCGAGAAAAAAATCCTTTTGACTCCAATGATGAAACTTTAAGGATGTTCTAGATTTTGCAATACGTGAACTACAAACATTAATTTTGGAAACTATGTATTGCCCAGGGACGGGGTCTATAGTAAATAGCCAAAGGCAGGACAACTTTCTCAAACAATACGGAGAGTCGTCTAGGGTGAATAAATCTATAAACTAGGCGAAACCGGACATCAAGTTAGTCAGTATGTGTTATGCTTAGACTGTAGGGAGGAGGCTCCGTGCATATACGCGTCATACACGCTGAGTGTTCCGCGAGTAGTGGAGACACACAAATCCGAAACGTCAAACAGTGAAAGACCCAGGGACTTGAGATGTATTGTCGGAGCAGAACAGATAAATCAGTGGTTTTCAAAAGCACGGATTGTGCAGTGTTCGATATTTGCAGAAATTGTGATTGCACATATCTGGAGATGGGTTTGGCATGCGGACCGTTATCATATCTGCTTAGTTTCAGTACTGAGATTCGTTTTATGCGGTATGCTCCACAGATCGCAACGTTCATAACATACGTGATAATATCCTTGACAGCGAGTAGGTCAGATTTGACAATGGATTACGTAGTGGGTATTTAGGGATCAGGATTGCAGACACAAGCTGTTTTGTGATTTCGTAGTACTTTTCAAAAGCGAGCATCGTGTGTGACCGCAAATGACTGAAGGACGTGTACATTTCCACTGCAATGAAGAAAGAATGTTGAGAAAGGTGATCCACGGCCAGTTCGTTATGACTTCGTTGAGATGACCACACCCGCAGCTGAAGCCCTCGTACGAATTGCAGAGGGAAGATCTTGGCACGTAGCGAGTGGAATGTGCAGTTATAACATCCAGAAAAGGGGGATCGCTGACGTTAGATAAAAATGCGGTTCTCTAAGTCTTCTTTGTAGAATCATTGTCGAGGATGGGTTATCCGGAGACAAAGACTATTTAAACGCTATGCGGAGGAGGTTAATCAAGGATTTGGACGAAGACATTGCACTTGCAACCGAAACGCTTAGTAGTGTACGCCAGAATCTAACTGTGATATGTGGAACTGAAAATGACAGTTGTCTCTCAAATCTAGACATACTGCTCACACGAGTACCAGATGGTTCAATCCGAAAGTCATTCTACGGGAATGCGACCTGTACGGATAAACCCTTAGATGTTAGGAGTGCCTCGCCGAATCATCACAAGTGCCCTTTACTTCGAACATTGGTCTATCAGACTAAAGTGATTGCACCAGAGATACTCCGGCGTGCTACGGTTACCCATTGGACCTGCAGTGACAGAAACAAAATGAAACATGTTGACAGATTGCTTTGAAATGATGTTGCACTCGATTACGGTCATATTTTCATATATCAATCTCAGGATTACATTTTAAGGTTTCAATGTTCACATAACTATCGAGCTAATTTACAACTTATGAGTAAATGGATTCGGCAAGATATTGATTTGCGTTATAGCGGTTGGAAGACAAGCTGTAAAGTCAACAATTACGTTGGATTGGAGCATTGCCTTCATTTCGTGAGTATTGTCATTGTTTCATTTTTAATGTTTTTTATGTAATTTCAAGCGGTTTCCTATATTTCAATGCAACAGGCGGCGCAATTAGGCTGTCGTTTGATCTGCGTTTGAATACAAACATATAAGTATTCCTAATATTTCGACTTGTTTTTGAGTTCGTAGATCTTCCTTTTTGAACGGGTTGAAGTATAACATGATTTCGCCACACCTTTTTTCTTCCTTTTCAATGCGATTGATCTGAATCAGTTCACCCAAATAATGACTCGCAGAAGATCATGCTTAGATCACCCTACTCGCGGAGCGGAGGAAGTGCGACGATAAAATGCAAATGTAACTGTGAAATGGTCGGGAATCAGCGAACGAGCGGAAAAAAACTAATAATGGCTCAGATATGCATCGTGGAAGCAGAAAAGACGTGCACACAGACTTGAGTATGCAAGGTTACGAACACAACGATCGCGTTCTGCAGCTGAATGGACGCGACAAACTGATACTGGCTGAAAGACGCCAATGAGAAACATCAGATCAGCGTCAAACACGGCTACGTGCTCAGTAATCGTGCGATTACAACTGCCATGCATTCCGGTACAGCCTAGCTGATGATAATGATCGAACCGGCATGTTCATATCGGCACCATGACTGAGTTATGTCCGTATTACAAGGCTCGGACGTTTAATGGAGAAATGAAGGAAACGTGTAGTGCCGCCGGAAAAAGCAAATTGCCTCAAGTTGCTGGAAATATTGCCGAATAAAAGCACTTTTTATCTAACGCCAGGAAATTTCAGGCTTACAAAGGATATTGTTGGGTGCAAAAATCTTAATAGATCAATTCATGCCCACTTTCAAATTGAAAGAACAAATTTATCACAAAGCCGGATCCATGCTTCTGTTCCCAGATGGTCAACATAGATTGTTACAAACGTCTTTAATCGGCGGCGGAAATGATGTAATGAACGTACGCAGCGGAATTTCTAACGGCATAAAATGTAAAATCGTTACCCGATTCCGAGAGCTTCTACAACAATAATATTAGTGCTTGTTCAAAACAGCTATTGACATGACATCTGATACAGACTAGAGTGTTGTCCATACTAAGAAAACGCCTGCTAGAGAACATGTAAGAAGATCCAATGCTACGACTATGAAGGAAGTGGCAATTATTAAAGTCGGATATTAATTCCCACCTAACGAGATTATGCAAAAATTTGGAAGCTATCGGTTGGTATAGTCGTTAGGTAACGTTTCGGTTTTGATACAAAAGCTTCATCAGACCAGGTGAATCAATGTGCAATTGTAGTGGCATTTTATAGCGGACAGGGACGATGACCGTGATACCCGAGACCTGAGCCAAAGTGAGATTACAGCGATGTCACCACAGGTGGTTCAGTCACAGTGGCAACAGTCCAGGGGTTCCTTTGTGCATCATGGCATCGACTGATAATCCCATAGCGATGACAATGGGAGTCGAGTTGCACTTTCCAATCTGATCCGCGTACCGACGCTTGTCAGACCGGCCGGCTTAAGATCACTCGCCACGCAATAGAGTTCTACCCCTCCATCCTATACACACAGCTGTTTGATTTGGTAACTTTCCAACGCCTGGCCAATCAACCGCTGGGGTGTCGATTGTATACCCCTACTAATGACCTATACGTTATCCAATTCGATCTCGTGAGCCGTTGCTAATGCATGCATAGCTACGGCCGAGTCCCTTAACAATGCCTGGTATTCAAAATTGTTGGTCTTGAAATGTGCCTTCCGTGCTCTGAAATTTGTGTGCGTGACTCTCTCGCTGTTAGGCCTACGTATTTATGTGTACAGTCCTTACATTTAATTGTATGAACACAGTTAGTTGAGCTACCCTAGGGAAGGGGGTCCTTCAGGTGCACCAGCCCCGAACGTAGCGTTTGAGCTCATTGGAAGATAACTGTCATATTTTCCTTGTTTAATACCATGCAAACTGTTGTCCTTGTAGGGAATTCCTACCGTCACCATCCACTAAAATGTGAGTTTTGACTGTCGGTTTAGCGATATATGTAACTGGCGTTTGACTAGCCGCATACGTTTGTAAGTACGTGAATAAGGGTATCAACATGGCAGTTGTTGGCGTGGTA